AGGGAGCAGATTTGAGCTGGGGGTGGGGAGAGATTTTTACTGAAAGATGGTACATTTTTTTGTGTAGGGAGAAATTTGACTTGCACAGGGAATGTTTGCTGAGGTGGCAAGAGTGAAGATTAGTGATTGAGATTTGTTTATATATCCGGGAAGCCTGGATATAGCGAATGCAGGGTCCGGGGTTTAGTAACACTTTAATATAGAGCTACATTAATATTTGTCTTCTATGTCTGCCTGGAGTTCAGCTTCAACCTAACTAATCTTAAAAGCGTTCCTTTCCCCTTCCTAACACCCATGCTGACTAAGCATATACTTACCTATTGTCAGCCCGCTCCGGTCCAGTCATGTGATCCAGCTCCCCTTGCATCAGCCAGCGGCAGCTGCAGGATAGAGGAGGGAGCACCTGTGAGTGACATCACTGCTCCCAAATTTTCCAGCTGTAGTTGAGAGCTCTTCCCTCTCCCCTGCAGCCACCCCTGGCTGATCACGTGACCGGAATGGAGCAGGCTGAAGATATACCTGAATGGCAAGAGGCCCAACTCTCAAAAACTAAGGCCCCATTCACACTTGTGCGACTTGTGACGTGACTTTGAACACTAAAGTTGCATGACAAGTCACACCCCATGTTTTCCAAGGAGTAACGTTCTTCTCTACATGACTGAAAGTCACAGCGACTTCAAAGTAGTTCACGTACTACTGTGGTCTGACTTTCATGCAACTCAAGGTCCATAGACTTCAATGCTAACCCTCAAATGTGGCATGAAAGTCACACTTGAATCTTATACGTGTGACAGTTTTTCAACAGTTGTCTGTTATCTTTGGTCAAAGCCAAAGTCCCACCCATCCAAAGTTGCGCTTCAAAGTCACACAACGTTGGGAGTCGAACAAGTGTGAACGGAGCCTGACACTCTTCACATGGAGAAAGCCGTTCGGGGAAATATCCAGTGGCAATGAAGAGTGAACGTTTCTATGTGGCAGCAGCCTGCAGGATATGCCATACACAACTTTTTTTTTTTGCATCCTGGCACCTGGGTTTTTGTCAGCCCATTAACTGCTGGCACCAGGCATGAGCCATTCCTATTGCCCGATGCCCCAGACATACAGTTCGGGGCGTCGGGCAACTGATTTAGTTTTAACATTTGTCTTCATGTACCGGCACTCTGGGCTGCTGTGTACAGGGTGTCAGCTCACGCTGGCCTCTCCATCAGTCTGCTCCGGGGGGAAGACAGATGTGACAGGATGGTGGACACGGAGGATGGCTCTGAAGAAGAGGCAGGTCCTTGAAACACGTTAGCCTGTTGGAAGTCCAGGGTTCACATTGTGGATGGCCACGTAGTGTGGATTGGACAGTGATGTTCTTTATGATGTGCCTTTGACATCTATGTCATTTGTGAGTACGATACCTATTTTTATTTCCTCAATAAATGTTCTTTACGGTAATGCACTAGGCCAGTGCGCCCTCTGTTTGTTTTCTTTATATCCAGTGCATTTGGATTACCCTGGTCCGTTGAGGGCAGCAAGGAGTACACTCTCCAGGACATCCGAGATGTAGCCATAGCCTATGCTGAGTCCATCCCCAAGCACAGGAGTATTTGGGTTTGCTGTTTTTTGGATGGAAGGATGGCCATGATCACTGGCTTTCAACTCTGCTGGAGCCGCTCAGGGGAAGTTAGAGAAAAATGCAGGCTGTGACCTTCCTCCACTCTTCTTGGAGGCTGTGCCCGGACACCCATTCCATTCCTGCTGTCATACATTGAAGATTGGATCTGGGTCAGTAGTTGGGGTGGGAGATCAAGATATGTGTGGTATCGGCCGATCTCAGGTGGGGTGCCCAGGCTGTGCTGTAGTCGGAAATTGCAGGAGGCAAAAGATCACAAGCCTTGCCGACTACATTGTCCTAGGAGGAGAGGTGAGTGAGCTAATGGACACTGAGCAAAGTCCATAGTGGGGCTGGAATTTGTGAAGGGGGGGATTTGTGAAGAGTGGGGGGCTCAGCATAATAATGAGCTTCCCACATAACAGTTTTTTATTGTCATTCTTTCGGCCAGCCTATATCCCTGACGTAATGGCGTTAGGTTGGAGTTATTGATGATAAAAAATGTATACGAGCGCACCTATAAATGCAAAGTAGCAGCTGTGCACCAGGTAACCATAAACCCCAAAAAAAAACAAAACAATATAAATCAAAAGATGCAGCGCTACAGAAGAGGAACACTATAAATAAATGAATGGATGTATAGATACAAATATGTATACACATGAATAAATAAATGAATAGAACAGTTCATATGATAATATCAAGGTGACTTCAAGTGCTCTCTTCTATTTCATATCCTCCTGATAATCAGGTGCTGTGCGAAATAGTGCTGAAGAAATGCACACTCACCAGAACGCACAGTTAAATGGGCGTTTATAAATATAAATTTCCCTTGGAGTCATCAGCTGGTCAGGATGGGGTCTGCAATATGATATGATAGCCTCCCTCCAGAGCTCCTGGATATTACTGTGTAATCCCTTGGAAGGTAGCCTGTGGACTGCTCCTTAATGCTCTCCAGCACCCCCCTGCCTCTCTGTTACAGCTGACCTGCTGACCTGCTCCGCCTGATGACACGGACTCCTCCCCCGTCCTGCAGCTACTCATCTCTCTGCTGGGAAAGGAACGTGTGTAGGCATTAAGGAGCAGTCCACAGGCTACCTTCCAAGGGATTACACAGTAATATCCAGGAGCTCTGGAGGGAGGCTATCATATTGCAGACCCCATCCTGACCAGCTGATGACTCCAAGGGAAATTTATATTTATAAACGCCCATTTAACTGTGCGTTCTGGTGAGTGTGCATTTCTTCAGCACTATTTCGCACAGCACCTGATTATCAGGAGGATATGAAATAGAGGAGAGCACTTGAAGTCACAGGTTGGAGTTATTGGCTGGCCACACTGTTGTAAGTAAGTTAGGGTCAGGGGGCGCAAATTACTTGCCTTGCCCTGGGAGCTGACAACCCACACTACCCTAAAAAAAATCCTGGCTCCTAACTTTTTTTAGCTGGCTCCTAGATTCAAACCAAATTTGTTGTGCCCTGGTATAGTCGATATATTATCAAATCGGACGGAATTAAACTGGAAAGATTCAATATTTTCAGACATCAGTTCAACCCACCAAGAGAAATGGCATGAGCTGATTGGAAAATATCCACTGGCATCACGTACATCCCAATTAACGAATGGAATTAAATTCGGATCTATTTGTTATCTGAATCCGAATGATCCAACAAATTTGAAAAATGAAATTAATTTCCCCACGGGCCTGAACTACTATTGCATCATGTGACATCATCCGAATGAAACAAATGCTTTAGTTAACTGTTTTGACTTTTTATTGGATTCGTTGACGATGTCTATTCAGAGATTCATATACGTCTGAATCATTGAAAATTTAATTTTCGTCCAAAAATTTATCAAAATGAAAACGCAAATGTCTATTCACAACAGCTTATCCATTAGTTGGTCTCTAAGCCACTCCATCAATCTTACCTGAGTTTTCTACCCTGACCCATGAGGAAATGTCTTAGGGCCAGCTTAGAGTGGCGTGGACTGCCACTTGAGGCGGTGTTTAGTTTTCTACATGTATGGTCAACCCTAAATTGTCCTCCCCGCATGCGTTGTCCACTTGGAATCAGTGCCTAATTAAAAATAAAAATACATGTTGCTGAGCCTGGTCAATCATGAGCCAAGCTGTCTCCAACCCATACCTTGGAGAGAGCAGGTGCCCCACCCTCTACAAGTGAGGAGACATAGCCCAAGGCTTGAATTGGCTGGGAATAGTAGAAGAAGAAAAGGAAGTGGGTGGAAGAAAAAACAAGTTAGAAAATAAAAATGCGTTTATATCTAGATAAGAACCTTCCTATAAGTCACAAAACACATAACATATCACATAAGTTATATAAGTTCTTGTAAGAAAAGTAGAAACTTTAAGGACTTTAACCCCTTCCTGCCGACGTCACACAAATATGCAGCCTCACAGAACTGGGCTTTTTTCCATATTTGCATAACTGTCTTTGTGCTGAGAACACAATGCGCTCCCTGCACAAAGACCAGGGTGTCAGTAAGAGCCCCGGGTCCCGTTCTAACGATCAGGACCCGGGACTCTGGGTCCCATTAACGATCGGGACTCGGGGCTTCAGAATCTGGCCTCTGATTGGCTATCACAATGATCAGTCACTGTACAGCCCGCCCCTCATTTTTTTTTCTCTGAATGGAGGAGAGAGATAAATTGTATCTCTCCTTGCATAAAGGGAAAAAAATCTGCTTGTTAAAGAAAAAGGTAAATAAATATTAAAAAATAACTAAAACAAGGTTTGAGCTAGTTCAGTGCCAGTCTTAGTGTCTGGGTCAAGAGTCAGTATTTTTTAGTTTTTTTTAAAATTGGTATCAGTGTCAGTGTGTTTTAGGTAAAAAAAAAAAAAAGCGCACTATTGTTTCTGGGCTGTACTACGGGTACAAACAACAAATAACATACACATATGTTATATATCGCTGCGATCGTCAGGAGCTGGAAAATTTATTTTGAGTTGTTCTTTGGTGGTAGGTTATGGTAGTAACAAGAAACACACAGCTAAATTTTTTTTTTACTATTTTGGGCCAGTTTTCCTTTTGATAATAAAAAAAAGAGGAGATATCAGTTACCATTTACCACCAAATTAAAGCCCAATTTCTCATGAAAAATAATTCACCTCGATGTACAAAGTAGTTGTGATCATATGTACGGTTTTACTAACACATGTTAAAGTTGCAAAATTGTGCTTAGGCGTTAAGATTTGTTTTACCCTTAGGCCTGAAGGGGTTAAGCCTCCATAATCTATGGTTCCATCTACTCCTAGCATCCAGAAGGTACCTGAAGTGTACTTAGTGATATTGAAACTTTAAAAACGGAATCTTGCAGGACCTGGCGGTTCTACAGAAGAAGCCACATGTGTAATTTCAGCCACCGTATCACAACCTGTTGTCACCTGTGAGATATGAGATGCGTTCCAAGAGAGGATTTCTGTGAAAACTGCTTTCCACATTCCGAACATGAATACGGTTTGACTCCAGTATGGATTCGATTATGAGCAGCTAGATTTGATTTCTTGGCAAAACCTTTACCGCACTCAGAACAGGAATACGGGAGATTTCCTCTGTGGATTATCTGATGTGTGGCAAGGTTTGCACGATCAGTAAAGCATTTCCCGCATTCTGAACAGGCATAAGGCTTCTCCCCCGTGTGAACTCTTTCATGCGTGATGAGAGACGATTTTCGAGAAAAAGATTTTCCGCATTCCGAACATAAATACGGCTTTTCTCCCGTATGCACTCTTTTATGTATGATAAGGGAAGATTTCCAAGAAAAGCATTCACCGCATTCGGAACAAGGAAATGGCTTCTCCCCTGTGTGAGTCGTCTGATGTCTAGCGAGATATGACTTCTCAGAAAAACATTTAGCGCATTCAGAACACGAATAAAGCTTTTCCCCCGGTGTGAACTTTTTCATGCTTGATGAGACAAGATTTTCGGAAGAAACTTTTCCCGCATTCCGAACATGCATACAGCTTTTCCCCTGTGTGAACCTTTTCGTGGGCGAGGAGAGACGACTTCTGAAGAAAACATTTTCCACATTCAGAACACGAAAATGGCATTTGTCCCACGTGAACCTTTTTGTGTCTCAGAAGGGACGACTTGCGAGAAAAACATTCATTGCACTCAGAACAAGAGAATGGTTTTTCTCCCCGGTGTGAGTGGTCTGATGTGTAATAAGGTAGGACCTTTCTGCAAACGACTTCCCGCAGTCCGAACATGAATAAGGTTTCTCGCCCGTGTGATTTTTCTGATGAGAGATAAGATGGGCTCTTTGGGAAAAACGTTTCCCACATTCTGAACAGGAATACGGCTTCACTCCTGTGTGGAGTCGACTGTGAGCAGCCAGATTTGATTTGCTAGTGAAAAACTTTTCCCGCACTCAAAACAGGAATATGGGGCGGTCACCGGTGTGAATTATTTGATGTGCTGTCAGATTCACTTTTTCGGTAAAACATCTCCGCATTCTGAACATGAATACGGCTTCTCCCTTTTGTGCACTTTTTCATGTCTTGTAAGAGACGATTTACGGGAAAAACATTCGTTGCATTCGGGACAAGAAAACGGCTTAACCCCCGTGTGAGTGGTCTGGTGGATAGCAAGATGCGACCTTTCAGAAAAACACTTCCCACACTCTGAACATGAATATGGCTTCACCCCTGTGTGGGTCATCTGATGCAAGATAAGCTGTCCTCGCTGGGAAAAACTTTTCCCGCAGTCTGAACATGAAAATGGCTTCTCCCCCATGTGAGCTCTGTGGTGGATAATCAGCAAATATTTCGACGAGAAGGACTTCCCGCAGTCGGAACATGAATATGGTTTCACACCCGTGTGAGTTCCTTGATGTAGAATAAGATTGGCTCTCTGTCTAAAAACATCTCCCGCATTCAGGACATGAATACGGCTTCTCCCCCTTGTGAACTTTTTTGTGTGTGATAAGATTTGACTTCTGGGAAAAAAATTTCCCGCACTCCAAACAGGAATATGGCTTCTCCCCCGTGTGAGTTCTTTGGTGTTCAATAAGCCTGGTCGTACAGCTGAAACATTTTCCGCATTCCGAACACAAAAAAGGCTTCGCCGCTGAGTGGGTTCTCTGGTGTCTTAACAATTGCTGTTTCTGAGAAAAACATTTTCCACATTCGGAACATATTTGTGACTTCTCCCCTTCATGAGTTATCTGGTGTAAGGGGAGGTTTGCATTCCGGGCAAAACATTGGCCACATGCAGAAGATGGGTTTGTTTCATCCATTTTACAACAATGAGTGACGTTGGGCGAGTGATTGGAAAAAGAGCCTCTATGTGTGGAGGCATCTGAAGATAGTTCTGTACTGTGAAGACCTGGATGGAGATTTGGGGAGATAGAGGTCTCTTCTGAAGAGCTGGTGTCCTCTGCCGTTTCACCATTTGAAGAGATGACGAGGTGCTTCTCCAACTTTTTTTTGATTGTGTTGTCCATCTGGAGGAAAGAAAATATGAAAGGGGTGAAAGAATATCCACGTTTGCCAATCCCTAGTCATTATATTCTTGAACGGGGTGATAGAACATCCAAGTGTGTCAATCCCTAGTCATTATATTCTTGAACGGGGTGATAAAACATCCAAGTTTGCCAATCCCTAGTCATTATATTCTTGAACGGGGTGATAAAACATCCAAGTTTGCCAATCCCTAGTCATTATATTCTTGAACGGGGTGATAAAACATCCAAGTTTGCCAATCCCTAGTCATTATATTCTTGAACGGGGCAATAGAACATCCAAGTTTGCCAATCACTAGTCATTATATTCTTGAACGGGCCGATAGAACATCCAAGTTTGCCAATCACTAGTCATTATATTCTTGACCGGGGCAATAGAACATCCAAGTTTGCCAATCACTAGTCATTATATTCCTGAAATGTTGTCCATTTATGGGATGTTTTTTTGTCACGGCCCACACTCTGACCATATAATTTCCAGGACAAATTAATTTTTATAATTTTAGAGAAACTGCAATTCCAATTTTTTTTCCAGTTTTGGATAGAATTGGGAAGAATTAGAATGTTAGCTTCATGTTTTTGTCTCACCTGTGCTGATTTCTGGATCATCCTCCTCTTTAATCTTTACAGGTCCTTCTTCCTCCTCCTCAGCTTTGATGTCTCGCTGAGTGTCTCTGGTATCTCCGGGGTCTGTGAAGAAAGATGAGAGTGAAGCCCCCTGTACTGAGATGTATGAGAGACCCCAGAGAGTGTGTGTGGGGGGAGACTGGTCACTTCTCAATGACATGATTTGAGGAGGAGAGCCGGAGTCTAATAGAGGCTGATGGCTCCTGACCCCCCCCCCCAATGGGCACATACTGTCCCCCCATTACTGTCTACTGACAGAAGAGGGGGGAGAAGAGAAGAGATTGTTGTAGTGACTGAACAATGAGGATCTGGGACTCTTCTCTGGATTTAGTATTTATTCCTCACCTATGCTGATCTCTGGAGGGATCTCCTCCTCCTTACATGGACCTTCGCCTTTCACAGAGGGATCTTCATCTTCTTCATCTTTAACTTCAACTTTAACATAAATTAGGTTTTCATCCTAAATAACAAAAATACAAATACTACAGGATTTAAACTCAAAATACTTTCACTGACCTGCCAGAAATGTATTTGTGAACTTTTTTTTTCTTTTAAAAAATCATATTAGGCATGAGGACTGGTTAAAACTTTCAAACATTATATATTCTCTGAAACCAAAGACCCAGGAAAATACAAAGGGTAGTAGTTCCAATTTTTTATGTCACATGATACAGGGGTTGGACAAAAATATGAAAACTCTCCATGACTTGCAGGTGTGAAAGTGACGACTTGTTTTGTGCTGAAAGCGGAATTGATGTAACATTCTTTTGCCTCTGCTGCTGTGTGATGAGACACCTAGCTAACAGGTGGGAAGCCTCACTTTCTTCATTCACTGCGTGTGCTGCTAGTAATATGGAGCATGTCAGAGCTTACTGAGCTTCAAAGAGGGCAAATTGTTGGTGCCGCTTAGCTGGTGCCTCTGTGACTGAAGTTGCCAATTTATTTGCCGTGTGACAAGGTCCAAATCATATGACGGCATATACAGTATCTGGGAAATTGTCCTCTGATGAGTATAAGCGCGGTGGACATGGTCACCTGACCGAAAGAGACAAAAGGACATTGCGCAGGATTGTGACCCGGAATAAGAAAACAACTGCTGCCAAAAGTGACTGCAGAGCTCATTCTCAGTCTTGCAAATCCCGTCTCCACAAAAACTGTGTGAAGGGAATGCCATAAGCAGAACATTCATGGGGCGAGCTGCAATTGCCAAACCAGTAGTGACCAATATTAATGCTCAGAAAAGGAGAGAATGGTGCATCTCCCAATCGACTAACGATCAATGGAAGAGTGTAATATAGTCCGAAGAATGGAGCTTCACACTGTTCCCAACCATCAGCTGTGTTTACGTGTTTGCCAACACCATCCCAAGCTTACCACCAGGACTGTCTTGTGCCAATGGTAAAGCATGGTGGTGGCACAATTATGGTTTGGGCAGCCATATCTTCATATTCTGCAGGCCCCATCATCACCTTGAAAGGTAGAGTCACTGCCAGCGACTATGTACAAATTTTGGTCAACTATGTGCACCCCATGTGGCAGAAATTGCTTCCTGAAGACAGCGCCATTTACCAAAACGATAATACTCCGATTCACACAGCTGCTGTTCTCAAATCGTGGTTTGATAAGCATGCAGATGAAGTCTCGCACCTTCCCTGGGCACCACAGTCACCGGACCATATCATAGAGCCACTATGGTCGATCTCGGAGAACAAGATTCCGGCTCGTTTTCCTCCTCTGGCATCTCTGTGAGAAGTGGAATGATTTCTGCAATAAGAGTGAAATCAGAGACCATCCAAGACTTATATTTGTCAATTCTCAGGAAAATTCAGGCCGTCTTGGATGCCAAAGGCGGTCCAACAACATATTAGGAAACAATTTTGTTCTTTTAGCTGGTGTTTCCATAATTTTGTCCACCCCCTGTATTAACCACTTGCCCTCCAGAGGATTCCCCCCCCCCCCACCTTCCTTCCTGACCAGGACATTTTTTGCAATACAGCGCTGCGTTACTTTAACTGACAATTTGCGCGGTCATGCAACGCTGCACCCAAATGAAATTTGTGTCCTTTTTATCCCACAAATTGAGCTTTCTAACAGTGGTATTTGATCGCCTGTGTGTTTTTTTATTTTTTGCGCTATATATATATAAAAAAACAGACCAACAATTTTGGAAAAAAAAACTATATTTTTTACATTTTGCTATTAAACATGTCAAGTAAAAAAAAAATTTAAAAAATCTAATTTCATCATAAATTTAGGCCAAAATGTATTCTGCTCCATGTCTTTGCTAAAAGAAATCCCAATACGTGTAAATTATTTGGTTTACGTGAAAGTTATAGCGTCTACAAATGGTGGTATATATACTGGGATTTTTTTTTTTCTACTAGTAATGGCAGAGATCAGCGACTTATAGCGGGACTGCGGCAGACACTCTAACACTGGGGGGGGGGGGACTGACTTGGTGTCAATGACATCCCCAGTGACACCAATATAGTGATCAGTGCTAAAAAAAAAGCACTGTACTAATGGCACTGGGCAGGAAGGGGGTAATATGAGGGACAACCAAAGGGTTAACTGTGTGCTGGGAGTGTTTCACAAGGGGGCGATGTCTGTGTGCTTCACTGTAATCACACTGCTCTGGATGGCTGTGCTATGCACAGCCATCCAGAGCAGTGTGCCCGAGCTGACAGGGAGGAGAACTGTTAATAAACAAAACAGTCCTCCTTCCCGTCGGAGATGCTCTGTAATCACTGGTGATTGACAGCCGTGACCCAGTGATTGACAGCCGTGGCTATGAATGGCAGCACGAGTAGGGCGCTCGTGCGCGCCCCCCTACCTGGAGATGCAAAATCACAAATATATATCTGTTATAGGGCGGCGGAAAAGCGGTTAAAATTGCATGCGCCCATAAAACAAAAACAAACCTTGGCACCCAAAATTGTCCATAGCTGATGATTAAAAGCTTTTACAGATCATCAGTGTAGAGTTAACCATGAATAATGGCCCTAGAATCATGTGCGGTGATATGTACCGTGTAGTTCAATGGACAGTTTGGTGCATAGGTGATCTTGTGATACTGCAAAAGAACAGTGGCTAAGTGGTTCAAATCCCAACCAAAGCACTACCTGTCTCTGTGCGTTTCCTCCGGGTACTCCGGTTTCCTTCTACCTGGGCTTTTTTTTCTCTCAGAGAATCTCGTCTTCCCAAAAGAGAATAAATTCAGTTCCTCTAATCTTTCCTCATAGCTGATCTCCTCCATGCCTCTTATCAGTTTGGTTGCCCTTCTCTGTACTTTCTCCAGTTCCTCAATGTTCTTTTTATGAATTGGTGCCCAAAACTGAACTGTATATTCCAGATGAGGTCTTACTAATGGTTTGTACCGGGGGAAGTTATATCTCTCTCTCTGGAATCTATACCTCTCCTAATACAAGAGGATTTTGCTCGCTTTAGAAACTGCAGCTTGGCATTGCTGCCATTATTAAGCTTGTAATCTACCAGAACACCCAGATCCTTCTCCACCATTGACCCCCAGATCCTTCTCCACCATTGACCTCCAGATCTTTCTCCACCATTGACCCCCAGATCTTTCTCCACCACTGACCCCCAGATCTTTCTCCACCATTGACCCCCCCCCCCCCCCCCCCCCCCCCCAGTTGTACTCCCCCTAGTATGTATGATGCATGCATATTCTTAGCCTACAAATGCAGAACCTTTTGTCAACATTTGATTTTTTGGCTGTTGGATACAGCCACGCCTTTTCTCCAGCAATGATTTTATTGTGAGAGGGCCAGCTTGCTGTTATGATATAGATACATATCGGACCTCTATAGCTTGAGATCACACCGATCCGGTAAGAGAGTTGCTTGTTTCCTTTGAAGAGCACCGAAGCACCTTATTTGATGTTTTGCAGCACAGAGAACTTTCTTCACTAGTTTGTGACTTTGAAATTATTTATTTTTATACATATACATATATTAATTTATATACTCATTGATCACTTATTGCACATTGTACTGATTAGTTGTTGCTTCATTTGGAACCTGTTTATTTGTATTCAAAAGGATCAGCGCACTCTTTATATTTAGATTTATTATATATAATAATAGTTGGAATTTTTGAAGCACATTATATTTTGGACTTTGCACTTTTCTATGAGGAAAATGTTTTTTTTTTAGCACATTTATGTTGTGCGATCAATTGCACATAAGATAGCAAGCACTATTGACTGTACATGTTTAAACATATCAGTCTCTGTACAGATTATATACAGAAAAATGAGAAAGAACCCCGATCCCATCTACCTGATCCTCCTGAGGGATCTCCTGATGTTCCATTTTGAAGATTAAATAGGATACCCTCATGTTAGATTTAGTAGCAGAACCCTCAGTTTGGTTTACCTGATCCTCCTGAGGGATCTCCTGATGTTCCTGAAGGATCTCCTGATCCTCCTGAGGGATCTCCTGATGTTCCTGTGTGGAGTCCCGGGAATACAGAAGACAGGGACATCTCTCTGGTGGGTTCCCATTACTGGATCCATCTGTAGGAAACACACACACTGACTGAATACATTGTTTCTATGTCTTTATATCAGAGGATGTATCTAGGGGTAGGCAACCTTTCAGAGGATGAGATCTACCTGTGACAACATGGAGTGAAGCAAAGATCCGGGGTGGGGGGGGTTGGTGTTACTAGGCAGCACCCTTAGTGTCCTCTGCCCTCCTTTACATCACCCCCCACTGTAGTGTCCTATACCCCCATTGTAGTGTCCTTTGCCCCCTCCCCCCATAGTAGTGTCCTGTACACCCCAATTCTGTACCCTCTGCCGTCCTTTACATCACCCCCCACAATAGTGTCCTTTGTCCTCCTTTACATCACCCCCCATTGTAGTGTCGCTATACCCCCATCCCCCCACAGTAGTGTCCTGTACCCCCCCCAATTCTGTGTCATCTGCCCTCCTTTACATCACCCCCCACTGTAGTGTCCTCTGCCCTCCTTTACATCACCCCCCATTGTCGTGTCATATACCTCCACTGTAGTGTCCTCTGCCCCCATCCCCCCACAGTAGTGTCCTGTACCCCCACGATTCTGTGTCCTCTGCCCTCTTTTACATCACTCCCCACAGTAGTGTCCTGTACCTCCTCTGTAGTGTCCTCCATCCCCTCCCCTCACTGTACCCCCCCAGCAGTGTCCTCTGCCCCCCCTTCACACCACATCCCCCTCCCACTGTCGTATCCCCTGCCCCCTTTCCCCCAGTAGTGTCCTGTACCCCCAAATCAGTGTCCTCTGCCCCCCTTCACATCACCCCCCCCACACTGTGTATTGTCCTCTATCATGCCCCATAGCAGTGTCCTCTGCCCCCACAAAGTCTCCTCTGCCTCCCCATCCCACAAAGCAGTGTCTTCTGTCCTTTTCTCATCAGAATCTCCCTCACCCACTGTAGTTTCCTCTGATCCCCCCTCCCTCAGTGTCTCCTGTGTCCTCCCTCCCCCAGTGTCTCCTGTGCCCCCCCCCCTCCCCCCAGTATCTCCTGTTTCCCCCCTCCCCCAGTGTCTCCTATGTCCACCCTCCTCCAGCGTCTACTCTGTCCCCTTCGCATCCCACACACACAAAGTAGCACCTCCTACCTACCAGCATGTGCAGTGCAGAGCGGAGATCATAAGACAGCATAGTGCTGGGTGGGAGCTGCTGGAGTTCATAATACCAGACTGGTGATTGGTTGCTAGCAACCAATCACTGAGCAGCTCCTGTCCACTCCCTCCATCAAGCACTACGCTGCCTCCCGCTCTCAAGTAATATGAGAGCACCTGAGGCTAGGGGGAGGTAGAGCCACGGTCATGATCAACCTATTGACTCCCCACGGTCGACCGGTCAATCGCGATCGACAGCTTGCCGACCCCCCTCCCCCGATCTAGGTGGATCCTCAATACTCTTCTTTCCTCCACAAGAAATGAAAGTCTCCTCTTACCCAGTTGGCTTGCCATAATGACGTCCTTCTGCAGGCCCCTCGTGTTCTCCTAAATGCTGCCGCTCCACACTTGGAACACCGAATTCTCCATACAGCTCACGCTGCAATAAATGAATAAAACTGCAAGGAAAAATTGTAAAATATAATTCCTAAACAATGGCACATAGCCTGTCAAAACCGATATTCCTGAGTGAGAACGCGTCACCAACACCATTACCCGTTTCCAGCAGAGCCCCCCCAATATATCGGAGGACTTCCAGGAAGATGAGTATTTGTTGAGGCGACATACCACCCCCCACCCCATCCAGTCCCCACACAGTGCTGGGACCTCCTCTCATATTATTATTATTACCTCCTCCTCACTGGGCACACACTCTCCACACTCACACACCCTCCAGCTGCTGGAAGTAGAGGGAAAAAAAGTCCCAAATCTGCTTCATGGGTTGTTCAACAGAGCTACAACAAAATGGCCGCCAGTTTCCTCTTACCATTCCATTTCCCTTGCGTGCGAGTACGTCACCATAACAACCGGTCAGCAGACAGGCCGCTGGAATGTGCGCACGCAGAACGCAGCTGGGCTTTCTGGTGTTGCTTAGCAACAAGGTTCCCTTTTTCCAGCCATTCACCAAAGTAAACGTTAGAGGTCAAACCATTGGAGAAATGGCACTCCAGCAGAGAGGCGCGGCCATTTTCCTGTAGCTCACAAACGATTTTTACTGGTTAATAAAACAAAACAAAAACCGTTTGACCACTAAGGGCTTCAAGAACATGGCCACAGACTGAGGACAACGTTCTGTGCTTATTTATTATTAATAGCAACTTGTTAACTTGTTATCAATATTAACCATATAGAGGTTGGGGATATATAATGAGTACTGTAATTCCTATTTCACAAGAAAGGAGTTCTGTGTATGGCTTCCCTGGAGGACAGAGCTCCCCCAGAACAGCCTCGGGCCCCCAAGGCTGCTGCCTGGTTGCTATGGAGACTCGAGAGCCCAGAGAACGGCGGCCATTTTCTTGTAGCCCAATTGAGGTACACAGAACAGACAGACAAACTTTTTTTTTGTGTGTTTCCGGCAGCTGCTGGAGCTGTGAGGCTGGAGTTATCCAGTGAGGTAATGATGATAATAATATTCTAATTATGAGAGGAAAAGGGGTCCCAGCAGTCTTTGGATTGGGGGGGATCATCATGTCACCCCCACAAATCCTCATCTTCCTGTAAGTCTTGTGTGCAGCTTGCTAGGTATTTATATGAAAGGTTCAACATTTCAGTCAGCGTTTTTTTTTTAATCAGTTTATTTTTGCTGTTTGTGTTACTGTTGGGATGAGTTACGCTCACTTCTTTTTACCAGGACAGGAAGTGAGTGGAATCTCCCCATTGGAGCCATGGCCAGCAAAACACTTCAGAGCAGACTGGCTCTTATCAGTACTATCCTAAGCTGCCATTGGTTTTGCCTGGAGCTGCATTATAAAGATTTGACTGAAATTTACACTTTACCGTTTTTTTTTTGTTTTTTTTACAAATAAAGTTTTATTATTGATTTATTGCAGTGTGAGCTTCAAACATCAAAGATTATTTCAGCTACAGTCCCGAATGTACAGAGGAGTGGAAGTGTATAGAAGTACACAAGGATCTGTAGAAGGAGGTCATGATGGAGAACCGGCCGCCCCTCACATCACCGGGTAAGAGGAGACTTTCATTTCTTGTATTGAGGATCCACCTAGATACACATATCCTCTGATATAAAGACATAGAAACAATAGAGGATTGAGAGTATATAGAAGGACACCAGGATCTGTAGAAGAACGCCATGATGGAGAAACGGCCACCCCTCACATCACCGGGTAAGAGAGACTTTCATTTCTTGTATTGAAAATCCACCTAGATACACACATCCTCTGATATAAAGTCATAGGAACAATAGAGGAGTGGGAGTATATAGAAGGACACAAGGATCTGTAGAAGGACGTCATGATGGAGAACCGGCCGCCCCTCACATCACCGGGTAAGAGGAGACTTTCATTTCTTGTATTGAGGATTCACCTAGATACACACATCCTCTGATATAAAGACATAGGAACAATAGAGGAGTGGGAGTATGTAGAAGGACACAAGGATCTGTAGAAGGACGTCATGATGGAGAACCGGCCGCCCCTCACATCACCGGGTAAGAGGAGACTTTCATTTCTTGTATTGAAGATCCACCTAGATACACACATCCTCTGATATAAGGTTATAGTATGTCAGGTTCCTATACGGTGTCAGGATGTCACTGTCTATTCTCCATGGAGGAGTGGGAGTATATAGAAGGACACAAGGATCTCTACAAGGACGCCATGATGGAGAACCGGCCGCCCCGCCCCTCACATCACTGGATAAGAGGAGACTTTAATTTCTTATATTGAAGATCCACCTAGATACACACATCCTCTGATATAAGGTCATAGTATGTCAGGTTCCTATACGGTGTCAGGATGTCACTGTCTATTCTCCATGGAGGAGTGGGAGTATATAGAAGGACACAAGGATCTGTAGGAGGAGGTCATGATGAAGAACCGGCTGCCCCTCACATCACCGGGTAAGAGGAGACTTTCATTTCTTGTAAAGGAGAGAAGAGTATTGAGGATCTACCTAGATACACACATCCTCTGATATAAGGAAATAGTATGTCAGGTTCCTATAGTGGGAGTATATTGAAGGACACAAAGATCTGTAGAAGGAGGTCATTATGGTGAGCCAACTGACCCTCACATCACCATGTAGGAGGAGAATTTAATTTCTTATATTGAAGATCCACCCAGATACACACATCCTCTGATATAAGGACATAGTATGTTAGGTTCCCGTAAGGTGTCAGGATGTCACTGTTTATTTCTCCATGGAGAAGTGGTAGTATATAGGAGGACACAAGGATCTGTAGAAGGAGGTCATGATGGAGAACTGGCTGCCCCTCACATCACTGGGTAAGAGGAGACTTTTATTTTTTGTAAAGGAGAGAAGAGTATTGAGGATCCACCTAGATACACACATCCTCTGATATAAAGACATAGAAAATAGAGGAGTGGGAGTATATAGAAGTACACAAGGATCTCTACAAGGACGTCATGATGGAGAACTAGCCGCCCCTCATATCACCGGGTAAGAGGAGACTTTCATTTCTTGTAAAGGAGAGAAGAGTATTAAGGATCCACCTAGATACATCACAGGCTGGATTGATGTGAACTGAATGTGTTTCTAAGATACCTATTGCAGCGCCCTCCTAGGTAGGTGCTAGATTAGACAGAATTGGACAAACGTTTTGACTTTCACAAGCCACATCCGAAAATTTAGACAAATAGTGTGGGTTGACTAACTCAAACCCAACATGAAGAGGCCGGACGTTACTGGCTCAATATGGGAGATCGCACATATTTATAAAACAGGAATCACTTTATTATACACATTAAAAATATGAATTAAAATACAAGCATAAAAAATACCCCAAAATGATCCAGAAAACTAGCTGGATTTAAGGTAAATAACCTACCCGAGATACCGGACGTCTAAACATGGACGTCATGTTATAGCGGAACTCCACCCAAAAGGGGAAGTTCTGCTTTAAGCCTTTGTCCGCCGCTCCCCATTAAGGATTGGCACCTTTGGGGAGCGGGTACCTGAATTTGACAGGTACCCGCTCCCACTTCTGCTTCAATCGCCTAGGCCAGGGGTGTCAAACTGGCGGCCCTCTAGCTGTTACCAAACTACAAGTCCCATCATGCCTCTGCCTTTGGGAGTCATACTTGACATAACTGTCAATCTTGCAATGCCTCATGGGACAAGTTGTCCTCCCCCCTCCCTCCCCGTAGTCTTCTGGGACATGTCCCAGGTCCCAGAAGACTATTGGGCCATTCACAAAGCACAGCGCTTCTCGTGCATGTGCAGTGGGCAACCGGCTGTGAAGCCGCAAGCTGTCACAGCTGGGTGCCCACACTGAAGATGCCAGAGCCAGGGAGAGAAGATGGCCAGTGAAACCAGCGGTGGCGAAGACACCGCTGGACCGAGGGACAGGTAAGTGGCTGTATTTTAAAAGTCAGCAGCTACAGTTTTTGTAGGTGCTGACTTTTATTTATTTTTTTTGTAGGTGGAACTCCGCTTTAATAACAACAAGTACAGCGGAGTACTAAATATAGATGCAGAGTCTGTATACTTCTGGAAGAGGGTCAACGAGTTTCGCCAATTCTGGCTTCTTCAGGACCAAATATAATGATAGGACATCACTACACACAGTTGTGTTCAAAATAATAGCAGTGTGTTGAAAAAAGTGAATAAAGCTCAAAATCCTTCTAATAGCTTTTATTTCTATACACACAAATGCATTGGGAACACTACACATTCTATTCCAAATCAAAACATGAAGAAAAATATATCAAATTTGTGTTGTTCCTCTAAAAAAATTGAAGAAAAGTGAATATTAGACTGAAAAATGTTTGAAGATTTTGCTTTCCTTTGAATCACTTAATTAATATTTAGTTGTATAAGCACTGTTTCTGAGAACTGCTGTACATCTGTGTTGCATGGAGTCAACCAACTTCTGGCACCTGTGAACAGGTATTCCAGCCCAGGATGATTGGACTACATTCCACAGTTCTCTATTTCTTGGTTTTGCCTCAGAAACTGCATTTTTGATGTCACCCCACAAGTTTTCTATTGGATTAAGATTCGGGGATTGGGCTGGCCACTCCATAACGTCAATCTTGTTGGTCTGGAACCAAGATGTTGCACGTTTACTGGTGTGTTTGGGGTCGTTGTCTTGTTGGAACACCCATTTCAAGGGCATTTCCTCTTCAGCATAAGGCAGCATGACCTCTTCAAGTATTCTGATGTATTCAAACTGATCCATTACCCCTGGTATGCGATAAATAGGCCCAACACCGTAGTATGAGAAACATCCCCATATCATGATGCTTGCGCAACCAAGCTTCACTGTCTTCACAGTGTACTGTGGCTTGAATTCAGTGTTTGGGGATCGTCTGACAAACTGTCTCCGGCCACTAGACCCAAAAAGAACAATCTTACTTTCATCAGTCCACAAAATGTTGTGCCATTTCTCTTTAGGCCAGTCAATGTGCTCTTTGCAAATTGTAACCTCTTCAGCATGTATTTTTTTCAACAGTGGGACTTTGCGGGAACTTCTTGCAGATAGCTTGGCTTCACATAGGCGTCTTCTAATTGTAACAGTACTCACAGGTAACTTTAGACCTTCTTTGATCTTCCTGGAGCTGATTGTTGGCTGAGTCCTTGCCATTTTGGCTATTCTTCTATCCATTCGAATGGTAGTTTTTCGCTTTCTTCCACGTCTTTCAGGTTTTGGTTGCCATTTTAAAGCATTTGCGATCATTTTAGCTGAGCAGCCTATCATTTTCTGCACTTCTTTATATGTTTTCCCCTCTCCAATCAAATTTTAATCAAGGTACGCTGTTCTTCTGAACAATGTCTGGAACGAGCCATTTTCCTCAGAATTTCAGAGAGAAATGCACTGTAACCAACATGTACAACATTTGCTGCCTTCCTTCCTTAAATAAGGGCAATAATTGCCACCTGTTTTTCAAACAATGAAAGACCTCACTAATAGAACTCCACGCTGCTATTATTTTGAACATGCCCCTTTCAATTAGTGATTCAATTACACAGAATCAGCATCATGCATGTCATGACTGTTGGGTCTGTTGGATTTCTATTACTCTACTACACCTGCTAGTAAATTATTTGCCATGTAGAAATATCATTTCTACCAAAAACAGTGATTGATCAGGTTAGTGATGTCTGACTGCTATTATTTTGAACACAACTGTATAAAAAATAGTACATTTTTATCAATAATAAACATAGTATATAGTAATACATCCAACATTAATACAAAAATGTGCTCACATCCGTGTGGTGGATCATGGGGAATCCACCAAAAGGCCTGGGGGCGGACACGGGCACAAGGACTAAACCCACACGGTGGAAAGCTGCCACAGGCAGCATAGAGACACAAAAATCTGAAATGGCAGAATGTAACCACTCAATATATATATGTCCAGTTATACTGACCTCTAATAGAAATAGAATTAGTTATCTTTGATTGGTAAATTTAGTTGTCACTCTCTAGTCAGAGTGGCTGTAATTATTAGTTAGGAATAAGCATCATGAGCTCACTGTACTGGGTGAGCTGTGATCATTTAGTTAGGTCTGCTTTGTGTGCTCAGCTACTTCCAGTCTGCTTTGCTTCCTCTGTATCCAGGAAACTTTAGAAGTTTCTGGATGATAGGTGTGGAGTTATGCAGATGGCAGCATGGATATTGATTCAGCCTCAGCCTATCCCAGACAGAGGGGCTCTAAGGCATGCTGGGCAACTGTATATATTCTGTAAGCACACAGGGCTTTGGGTCATTCCTGGCTAGGATTGCCCAAGCCTGGGAGATGACACGTTGCCCTCCCTGGCAGCCACTGCCGTGCAGCCTCAGATGGGCAACCTTAGGACCTGAATGCTTAGACCTGGGTTGTGCCATGCAGATTGAGGGGCTGTCTACTAAAGATCTGGTTTGGTATTAATAATCCCATTTCAGTCTTTTCAGATGACACCAAGCTGTGCAGTGGAATAACGTCCTTACAGGATGTCTCCAGTTTACAAGCCGACGTCAATGCTCTGTGTAATTGGGCAACTATGTGGCAAATCAGGTTTAATGTTGAAAAATGTAAGGTTCTGCACTTGGGGGCTAAGAATATGTATGCATCATACATACTAGGGGGGGTACAACTGGGGGAATCAATCTTGGCAAAGGATCTGGGGGAATCAATGGTGGAGAAGGATCTGGGGGTTCTGGTAGATCACGAGCTTAATAATGGCATGCAATGCCAATCTGCGGCTTCTAAAGCAAGCAAAATAATCTTGTATTAGGAGAGGTATAGACTCCAGAGAGAGAGGTATCATCCCCCCCCCCCAGGTACAAATCATTAGTGTAAGACCTCATCTGGAATATTCAGTTCAGCTTTGGGCACCAATTCACAAAAAGAACATTGGGGAACTGGAGAAAGTACAGAGAAGGGCAACCAAACTGGTAAGAGGCATGGAGTAGCTCAGCTATGAGGAAAGAGTAGAGGAACTGAATTAATTCTCTTTTGAGAAGAGGAGATTAAGGGGGGATATGATCTCCATGTATAATACATAAGGGGGGATATGATCTCCATGTATAATACATAAAGGGGATATGATCTCCATGTATAATACATAAGGGGGGATATGATCACCATGTATAATACATAAGGGGGATATGATCTCCATGTATAATACATAAGGGGGGATACGATCACCATGTATAATACATAAGGGGGGATACGATCACCATGTATAATACATAAGGGGGGATACGATCTCCATGTATAATACATAAGGGATGGATATGATCACCATGTATAATACATAAGGGGGGATATGATCACCATGTATAATACATAAGGGGGGATATGATCTCCATGTATAATACATAAGGGGGGATATGATCTCTGTGTATAATACATAAGGGGGGATATGATCTCCATGTATAATACATAAGGGGGGATATGATCTCCATGTATAATACATAAGGGGGGATATGATCTCCATGTATAATACATAAGGGGGGGATATGATCTCCATGTATAATACATAAGGGGGGGATATGATCTCCATGTATAATACATAAGGGGGATATGATCTCCATGTATAATACATAAGGGGGATATGATCGCCATGTATAATACATAAGGGGGATATGATCACCGTGTATAATACATAAGGGGGATATGATCACCATGTATAATACATAAGGGGGGATATGATCACCATGTATAATACATAAGGGGGGATATGATCACCATGTATAATACATAAGGGGGGATATGATCTCCATGTATAATACATAAGAGGGATATGATCTCTGTGTATAATACATAAGGGGGGATATGATCTCCATGTATAATACATAAGGGGGGATATGATCTCCATGTATAATACATAAGGGGGGATATGATCTCCATGTATAATACATAAGGGGGGGATATGATCTCCATGTATAATACATAAGGGGGGGATATGATCTCCATGTATAATACATAAGGGGGATATGATCTCCATGTATAATACATAAGGGGGATATGATCGCCATGTATAATACATAAGGGGGATATGATCACCGTGTATAATACATAAGAGGGATATGATCTCCATGTATAATACATAAGGGGGGGTATGATCTCCGTGTATAATACATAAGGGGGGATACGATCTCCGTGTATAATACATAAGGGGGGATACGATCTCCATGCATAATACATAAGGGGGGATACGATCTCTATGTATAATACATAAGGGGGGGATATGATCACCATGTATAATACATAAGGGGGGATATGATCTCCATGTATAATACATAAGGAGGGATATGATCTCCATGTATAAATACATCAGTGGTTAATATAGTGAGCTCGGTGTAGAGTTATTCACCCTGAGGTCATCACAGAGGACAAGGGGGCGCACTTTATGTCTGGAGGAGAATAAATTTAATCTGCAAACACGGAAAGGTTTCTTCACAGTGAGAGCTGTGAAAATGTGCAATAGACTCTCCAAGAGTTGGTTCTGGCCAGCTCAGTGGATTGCTGTAGCAAAGTCCTGGATTCTTTCCTAGATACACAGAATATAACTGGATACTAACATTTATAGGTAAAGTTGATTCAGGGAATATCCGATTGCCTCTCGGGGGTCAGGAAGGAATTGTTTTCCCTGCAGGAACTAATTGGATCATGCTTTGCTGGGGTTTTTTGCTTTCCTCTGGATCAACTATGGGTGTAGGATTATAACTTGTTTTTTTTTTTAATGGTTGAACTGGATGGACTTTTGTCTTTTTTTTTGCCAGACTAACTATGTAACTATCATGGAGGAAGGTGTCCAGCTGCTCTTGGTCCTTGTGCGAACAGACATCCCTAAAAAATCTTGGAGATTGAGTGCTGTTTAACTCCCTCTGGTGCTAGGAAGTCAGCTGTGGGTCTAGCAAAGGGAAAGACCAGCTGGTGTCCCGAAGATCTTTGTCCAAACGGATGTTGCTTTGGGGCTCTAAAGAAGTTACTGCTACTACTGCTACTTTTTACTATCCACTGTTTGGTTCAAGCAAAGACTTTGACGTAGCTTGCCCTAGAGATTAGATAAAGTCCTCAAGTGTACATAGTTATTATTTTTGGAGTATCCCACTCATCTCACAATTTTCCAAAAATAAAAACAGCAAAAATAAGACCCTTATGCAGGCCATACATGGGTCGAATTTCGACCCAATTTTCTTCAGAAAATCGGACATTTCATGCATTTTGCAATCCGATGGTGCTACCACTGATTTAAAAAATTGACCAGCCAAGCCTTTAATTTCACCTCATGCTGCAACATAAAAGAATTCTCTTGACCAAAATATTTTCTTTTCTTTCCAGGTCACAGCTCATTTCTTTATCGATTACATTTCTCTCACGATTCTCCTATCACTGATTAAAAAATCACTTCCAACATATTATAATCACTCAAATTCAATGGTCACTCAAAAATCGGCCATTGCTGTGGCTCACTAATGGTACAAAATTCTAATGAAAATGCTTAGAAAAAGATTTTCGAAAGAAAATTATTTTGGAATTTGACCCGTGTATGGCTGGCTTTAGACTAGTTATTGGAGGAAGGTGTGAATCAGCCTATGTGCCCAGCTACAGGGCAAAATAACTGGATAGGATCTGCACAGTATCCCTGTGGCTCCTACGGGAGTACTACATTATCAAATGCTCTCTTTTTGCAGTATACCTTGACTTCCATGCTGTCTTTATGGTGACTTACATTGGGTCTGGAGGGTTCCCCATTGGGAAGTTGATCCTTCTATTTTAAGATTCATGTGTACTAGACCAATGGCTGTTTACTGATTGTACCTGAATTTCCCACCTGAAAGGCAGTGGCTTCACCTTGGCTTACTCATTTGCACCTCTATGGACAACATGCGCGGGCTTTGAATCTCAGTCTATCCTACTGGCTGATATTACTCTATTAAAGATTAGGAATGGGTTCCAGTGTACTAATTCTGTCACATGTTCTCCTGGATTCCCGAAACTTGTCAAGTCCACATGGCAACTGTAATTGGAATTGTTGCATGTTGTGAACCCCTATGTAGAGAATCATTTTTAATGTTGGGTAAAAGATCTTTAATGGTTCGTAAAGTTTTTATGGCACTCAGTTTTCTTCTATATGTCCATACAAAGTCCATGACTACATATTCTGTTCATAGTTGTATATGATTTGCTAGGATGTGGACATATAGCACACACAGTCTGGGTTTCTCTCCCACTATAGATAGATACACACATCCTCTGATATAAAGACATAGAAACAATGTATTCAGTCAGTGTGTGTGTTTCCTACAGATGGATCCAGTAATGGGAACCCACCAGAGAGATGTCCCCATCCTCTGTATTCCCGGGACTCCACACAGGAACATCAAGAGATCCCTCAGGAGGATCAGGTAGATGGAACCAGTATTGGGAACCCACCAGAGAGATGTACCCATCCTCTGTATTGCTGGAACTCCACACAGGAACATCAAGAGATCCCTCAGGAGGATCAGGTAGATGGAACTGAAGGTCTTAGCAATACTGTTGGATTTTTACTTATTGGCTCATATACTAGTTGGGTTTTATTTTGTATTTTAAGAGTCAAAATCTGCTTCAATTTGAAATAAAAGATGAAGAAGAAGAAGAGCTGTATGTATGGAATGATGAGCCATGTAAGGAGGAGGAGAACCCTCCAGAGATCAGCACAGGTTAGTTATAATCACTAAATGCAAGTATCAGTCCTCCTCCCCTCAAGCCAGGGTACTGGGTGTAATCCTGGACTCTGACCTATCTTTTTGGCCCCAAGTCCAATTGCTGTCAAAAGCTTGTAGACTTCACCTCCGTAACATCTCTAAAATTCACCCCTATTTAACTAATGAAACCACCAAGATACTCATTCACTCCCTTGGTATCTCTCGCCTTGACTATTGCAACTCCCTTCTCATGGGCCTACCTCTCTGTAGGCTATCCCTTCTTCAGACTATAATGAATGCTGCTGCCAGACTTATCTACCTTACCAACCGTTCAGTGTCCTCTGCCCCTCTCTGCCAACCCCTCCACTGCCTTCCGATTGCCCAGTAAATTAAATTCAAAATTCTAACAACAACATACAAAGCTATTCTCAACTCTGCCTCAAGCTACATCACCAATCCTGTCCCCAAATATCACCCAAACTGTCCTCTCCACCCCTCTTATGATCTACTGCTCTCAAGCTCCCTTGTCTCCTCCTCCCATTCTTGTCTCCAGGACTTCGCCAGAGCCTCTCCCATCTTCTGGAACTCTCTATCTCAATCTGTCCGCCTATCCCTTATGCTGTCTGCTTTTAGGCGATCCCTGAAAACCCATCTCTTCAGGCCTATCACGCCTCCAAATAAATATTTATCACTTCCATCAGCTCATCCCCCACAGTTATAACCTTTTGTACCACTTGCCCCACCCTATTAGATTGGAAGCTCTTATGAGCAGGGCCCTCTTAATCCTCTTGTTTTTTATTGTATTGTAACTGTACTGTCTCCCTTTATATTGTAAAACACTGCGCAGACTGTTGGCGCTATATAAATGCTGTATAATAATAATAATAATAAATCCAGAGAAGAGTCCCAGATCCTCCTTGTTCAGTCACTACAACCATCTCTTCTTCTCCCCCCTCCTCTGTCAGTAAACAGTAATGGGGGGACAGTATGTGCTCAGTGGGGGAGTCAGGGGCCATCAGCCTCTATTAGACTCCAGCTCTCCTCCTCACATCATGTCATTGAGATGTGACCAGTCTCCACCCACACACACTCTCTGGGGTCTCTCATACATCTCAGTACAGGGGGCTTCACTCTCATCTTTATTCACAGATCCCGGAAACACCAGAGACACTCAGAGAGACATCAAAGCTGAGAAAGTGATCAAGACTAAAGAGGAGCACATTCCTATAGAGATCAGCTCAGGTGAGTCAAGATCACTAATACAGAAGCCATTCACAGATCCAGAGAGGTATGAAAAAGTAGTTGCGATCATTAACACCTTCCTATAGCAGATTGACAGCCGGGCGGGACACTCCTCCTTGTGATTGGGCGTCATATGACTATAGTGACACTGTACTGCTAGGGTGACAGTATGTTAAAAAAAAAAAACAAAAACCTATAAATAATAATATAAATAAAATAATATAAAAATGTAAAAAAAGATTTTGAAAAATTTTTATTTTTGGTTATAAACCAATTTGTGTTATTTATTTTTTTTACTAAAAAGATAACTGAATACATTTTGGCCAAGATTTATGAAGAAATATTATTTGCAAAATTTTATAAGAAAAACTTTTTTTTTTTTAATTTTTGGACTTTTTCATTTATATAGCAAAAAAAGATATTAAAATCCCAGTGGTGAATAAATATCACCGAAAAAAAGTTTTATCTGTCTCAAAAAAATGCTAAAAAATTAATGTGGGTAGAATGTTGCATGACCGCGCAATTGTTATTCAAAGTGTGACAGCGCTGAAAGCTGAAAATTGGTCTGGGCAGGAAGGGGGTAAAAGTGTCCGGACTTGAAGTGGTTAATATACAGTGGCGCAAATATCATGTGACATAAAATTTTTCTACAGGGCCTCCACTTTTCAGTTTGGGGGGGTTTAAGTAATTATATTACCAAACATTGAGACTTTTGAGATGTATGCAAAAAAATAAAAAAAATTGTTCTTTAGTTGAACTGGATCTGTCTCTACAGATGGATCCACAAACAGAAGTATCCCAGGGAGATGTCCCCATCCTCTGTATTCCCGGGACTCCACACAGGAACATCAGGAGATCCCTCAGGAACATCAGGAGATCCCTCAGGAACATCAGGAAATCCCTCAGGCTTGTCAAGTAGGTGGACTTTAGTTTTGTAAAATGACACAATGGGAGAGATTTGTGGAAACAGTCTTGGACAAAATCAGACTTCTATGGACTTCCATTGCTAACTGCACCTTAGTCATTATGAGTTGGGTATGACTTTGTGACCTTTGTATCTGTAGGTCAAGTGACCCCCCCTTAGCCAAGGGAATTTCTGTGGTTGAATGAAAAAAAAAAAAAAGATCATGCATTTTGCCTCAATATTTCAAACAACGGATGTTATATTTGTGGAATCTTTCCTATTTTAATTTTAAAAACGTCCATTGTAGTCCTAATCAGAGCAGGCAATGTTTTTCCAATCTCCTATTGTCCATTGTTGGTGATCCTGTGCCAATTGTAGCCTCCGTTTCCTGTTCTTGGCTGACAGGAGTGGCACCTGGTGTGGTCTTCTGCTGCTGTAGCCCATCTGCTTCAAGGTTGGATGTGTTGTGCGTTCAGAGTTGGTATTCTGCATACTTTGGTTGTAACGAGTGGTTATTTGAGTTACTGTTGCCTTTCTGTCTATCGAGGTAGTCTGCCCATTCTCCTCTGACATCAACAAGGCATTTTCCTCCACACAACTGCCGCTCACTGGATATTTTCTCTTTTTCGGACCATTCTCTGTAAACTGTAGAGATGGTTGTGTGTGAAAATCCCAGTAGATAAGCAGTTTCTGAAATATTCAGACCAGCACGTCAGGCACCAACAACCATGTCACGTTCAAAGTCACTTAAATCCCCTTTCTTCCCCATTCTGATGCTTCAGCAAGTCGTCTTCACCACATCTAGATGCCTAAATGCATTGAGTTGCTACCATGTAATTGGCTGATTAGCTATTTGTGTTACCAAGCAATTGAACTGGTGTACCTAAAATAGTGGCCGGTGGGCAGAGCTGCTGGTAGAAACCATGGGGACCCATACAGCCAAAAACCTAAAATAATAGGGTTGCATAAGTGTGTACACCCGTAGACTAATCCTTTGTTGAAGCGCCTTTTGATGTGATTCCAGAACTCAGTCTTTTTGGGGAGGAGTCTCTCAGCATGGCACATCTTGACTTGGCAATATTTGCCCAGTCTTCCTTGCAAAAACACTCCAAATCTGTCAGACATCTCCTGTGCACAGCCCTCTTCAGATCACCCCACAGATTTTCCATCGGATTCAGGTCTGGGCTCTGGCTGGGCCATTCCAGAAGTTTCCTCTTCTTCTGGTGAAGCCATTTCTTTGTTGATTTGGATGTATGCTTTGGGTCGTTGTCATGCTGAAAGATGAAGTTCCTCTTCATGTTCAGCTTTCTAGCAGAAGCCTGAAGGTTTTGTGCTGATATTGACTGGTATTTGGAACTGTTCATCATTCCCTCTACCTTTACTAAGGCCCCAGTTCCAGCTGGAGAAAAACAGCCCCAAATGCTGCCCCCACCATGCTTCACGGGGTATGGTGTTCTTTTGGTGATGTGCAGGGTTGTTTTTGCGCCAAACACATCTTTTGGAATTATGGCCAAAAACGTCACCCTTGGTTTCATCAGACCAGAACACATTTTCCCACATACTTTTGGGAGACTTCAGATGTTTTTTTGCAAAATTTAGCCGAGCTTGGATGTTTTTCTTCCTAAGAAAAGGCTTCCATCTTGCCACTCTACCCCATAGCCCAGACATATGAAGAATACGGGAGATTGTTGTCACGCATACCACACAGCCAGTACTTGCCAGATATTCCTGCAACTCCTTTAATGTTGCTGTAGGCCTCTTGGCAGCCTCCCAGATCAGTTTTCTTCTCATCTTTTCATCCATTTTGGAGGGACGTCCAGTTCTTGGTGATGTCACTGTTGCGCCATATTTTCTCCACTTGATGATGACTGTCTTTACTGTGTTCCATGCTATATTTAATGCGTTGGAAATTCTTTTGTACCCTTCTCCTGACTGTTACCTTTTAACAATGAAATCCCTCTGATGCTTTGGAAGCTCTCTGTAGACCATGGCTTCTGCTGTAGGATGCAACTAAGAAAATGTCAGGAAAGACCTACTAGAACAGCTGAAATTTTTTGGGCCTAATCTGAGGCACTTTAAATGATGGCAGGTGTGTACTGACTCCTATTTAACATGATATTGAATGTGATTGCTTCATTCTGAACACCGCTACATCCCCAGTTATAAGAGGGTGTGCACACTTATGCAACCACATTATTTTAGTATTTTATGTTTACTTCCCCCCCTAAAAGATTTCAGTTTGTTGTTCAACTGAGTTGTACAATTTTTAGGTCACATTAAATGTGGAAAAAGTTTTGAAATGATTTATCTTGTCTCATTTTTTTTTACATCACAGAAACCTGACATTTTAACAGGGGCGTGTAGACTTTTTATATCCATTGTACGCGTGCGGACATATTAAAGTGGAGCTCCACCCAAAAGAGGAAGTTCCGCTTTAAGCATTAAGGATTGGCACCTTTGGGGAGCGGACGGGGGGAGCAGGTATCCGAATTTGACAGGTACCCACTCCCACTTCTGCTGCGATCACATAGGCTATTGGAAGCGGAAGTTGTCCTCCCCCCCGTAGTCTTCTGGGACACGTGACAGGTCCCAGAAGACTACGGGGCCATTCAAAAAGAGCAGCGCTTCTTGCGCATGCGCAGTGGGCACCCGGCTGTGAAGCCACAAGCTGTCACAGCCGGGTGCCCACACTGAAGATGCCGGCTCTGGGGAGAGAAGACGGCCGGTGAAGCCAGCCGTGGTGAGGACACTGCTGGACCGAGGGACAGGTAAGTGGATGTATTTTAAAAGTCAGCAGGTACAGTCTTTGTAGCTGCTGACTTTTATTTTTATTTTTTTAGCTGGAACTCTGCTTTAAGTGTGGAAAGCTGGCTGTGACTCCTTGTGGCTTCAAAGCTGGCTTCCCACTGCACTGTTTGAATGGTTGCACAGCCTCACGGGACCTGTGATTTGTCCCAAGAGGTTGCAGGCAGGGAGCGGAGGGACAAACTTCTGGTTCGATCCAACCAAAAGTCGGAGCAGGTACCTACCAAAACTAGGTATTCCCCCCCCTCAAAAAAAAAAAAAATGCCCAAAAGTGTTAGAGGAGGAGGATATAAAGCAGAACTTACCCTTTAGGGTGGAGTTTTGCTTTGAAGTAATGACACTCTCTGTTGGTGGCCATTCTTAGATGTCACTCATTCTGCTGTATAGTTCTAGTTTTTGGATTTCCGCAGCTTGATGTATTTCTTTGAAAATTTCCTGTTTTATATTGTTGTCTGTTCTTCAGAGTGAAAATCTTGTTGTCCTTAAAGTTGAAGCTAAAGAGGACCCAGAAGAGACAATGGTGAGGGGTGATGACCAGGAAATTGGCACAGGTGAGCATTAAATGCTTCTATATCATAAAGATTTACACATTTTCCTTGTTCGGGAACTCTAGACCTTGAAGTGAACCTGTGTCTTGCCCATGCAGGATAAAGCACCAGGTTACTTTGAAGTCAAAGTGCTGTGCTACGGTAAATTTCTTAAACATTAATTCAGCAATCAAAAGTGAGCATAATGCAGTGAATAACCATACATTTAGTGCAATAAAGTCCATGTAATAAGAAAATATAAGTGAATCCAAGACTGCATGCCAAGGATGTCTCCACTACCAGATAAACACTCCAATGGGCTTACCGGATGTACACTCACCGGCCACTTTATTAGGTCCACCTTGCTAGTGCCAAAAAAAAAATCTCCCCATACCATGACACCACCACCAGCCTGAACCGTTGATACAAGGCAAGATGGATCCACCACACCATGACACCACCACCACCAGCCTGAACCGTTGATACAAGGCAGGACGGATCCACCCCACCATGACACCACCACCAGCCTGAACAGTTGATACAAGGCAGAATGGATCCACCACACCATGACACCACCACCAGCTTGAACCGTTGATACAAGGCAGGATGGATCCACCACACCATGACACCACCACCAGCCTGAACAGTTGATACAAGGCAGGATGCATCCACCACACCATGACACCACCACCAGCTTGAACCGTTGGTACAAGGCAGGATGGATCCACCACACCATGACACCACCACCACCAGCCTGAACTGTTGATACAAGGCAGGATGGATCCACCACACCATGACACCACCACACTGAACTGTTGATACAAGGCTGAATGGATCCGTTCTTTCATGTTGTTTATACCAAATTCTCACCCTACCATCTGAATGTCACAGCAACCACTCTGCCCATTCTCCTCTGATCTCCAACCTCAACAAGGCATTTTTTCTTTTTCGGACCATTTTCTGTAAACCTTAGAGATGGTTGTGCATGAAAATCCCAGTAGATCAGCACTTTCTCAAATACTCAGACTAGCCCATTTTCCACCAATAACCATGCCACATTCAAAGTCACTTAACTTCCCTTTCTTCCCTCATTCGATTTGAACTTCAGCAAGTCATCTACACCACGTCTAGATGCCTAAATTCATTGAGTTGCTGCCACGTGATTGGCTGATTAGTAGTTTGTGTTACCAAGCAATTGAACAAGTGTACCTAATAAAGAGGCTGGTGAGTGTATATACAGCGGTTAGACAAAAGTCATATATTGTGCAGTATTATTGATTTATTATTTCAGGTACTTATATAGCACCGTCAATTTACACAGCATTTTACATATATATTGTACATTCACATCAGCCCCTAACCCTCAAGGGGCGCATAATCTAAAGTCCCTAACTCACATTCATACATACACATACTAGGGCCAATTTAGACAGGAGCCAATTAACCTACCAGCATGTCTTTGGAGTGTGGGAGGAAACCGGAGTACCCAGAGGAAACCCACGCAGGCACAGGGAGAACATGCAAACTCTAGGCAGGTTGTCCCATGGTTGGGATTCAAACCAATGACCCTAGTACTGCCAGGTGGAAGTGCTAACCATGTAGCCACTCTGCTGCCTATGTGTTGTTTAAGAATAAATATACCCTGCAGGATTGGTTAGAGGGGGAATCGTATTTTTCCCAAGAACTGGGCTTCGAATGACTCCAATATACCGTCCGTGTCCCGGGAGACATCTCCTGTGACGAAACACGTTGGCCGAGCTATACTTTTTTGGGGGTTGGGATTTGAATCAATGACCATAGTACTGCCAGGTGGAAGTGCTAACCATTTAGCCACTGTGCTGCCCACTATGGATATATAAGCTGTTACTCCAGAGCTCTCCTTTGCCATCAGCATCCAGACACCCCAAAGGGATAAGACTTCACAAATGCCCACCAGTCTTTGCTCAACACGTACCCTTCTGTGATCAAGCTTTGGTGGGCGGGGCAAAACTCATCAGTGGGCGTGGACAGAGCAGCGACTGACTACACCGAACTCCATGGGCTGGTCAGAGCAGCATCTCTTTTTTTTTTGGGAAGGTTGCTGTGATGCCGCGTTTGCGAGGGAGCAAAACTGTGATAGGTGACTTGATAAAGAAGGCCATGCCTCCAAAACGCGTCATCATAGCAACCTTCCCAAAAAAAGGGACGCCGCTCGGACCAAGCTATGTACTGGCACAAACTATGTACTGCACAGTGATGATGTCACTGCTACATTTTAAAAGGTAATAATTGGGTTTAAAAAACATTTAGTGCAGGCAAAGTGAATCTATAGCCTTTGTGGCTATTGAGAAATATATTTAAATTCCGAACCCTGCATTCACTATATTTGCTCTCTCCAGACCCTGCATTCACTATATCCGCTCTCCCCGGACCCTGCATTCACTATATTTGCTCTCTCCAGACCCTGCATTCACTATATCCGCTCTCTTCGGACCCTGCATTCACTATATCCGCTCTCTCCGGACCCTGCATTAACTATATCCGCTCTCCCCAAACCCTGCATTCACTATATCCGCTCTCCCAGGACCCCGCATTCACTATATCCGCTCTTCCTGCACCCCGCATTCACTATATCTGCTCTCCCCGGACCCTGCATGCACTATATCCGCTCTCCCCGGACCCCGCATTCACTATATCCGCTCTCCCCGCACCCCGCATTTACTATATCTGCTCTCCCCGGACCCTGCATTCACTATATCCACTCTCTCCAGACCCTGTATTCACTATATCCGGTCTCCCCGGACCCTGCATTCACTATATCCACTCTCTCCAGACCCTGCATTCACTATTTCCGTCTTCCCGGACCCTGAATTCACTATATCTGCTCTCCCCGAACCCCGCATTCACTATATCTGCTCTCCCCAGACCCTGCATTCATTATATCTGGTCACCCCGAACCCTGCATTCACTATATCCGGTCTCCCACAGTACACACAACATGGAAATGCAATTATTTTAGTAAATATAAACTGCTTAATACCTTTTCTCATCATCAATATATAGCAGTATGGTGATTTCTATCAGTGTCCGGCAGAGCACTGGTTAAAGATTGTAGGAGGTTTTTCCATTCTGCTCTAGGAAGGGGCAGAACCCCTGACCTCTGTCTGGACAGTGCAGATTGGCCCTGTGCAGCAATACACACCAAACTGAGCATGTGCAGACTTGCCACTGCTGCTCTGTCCTATGGCAGATGGATTGGGGACAGTAGAAGAAGGGGAGGCAATACATACCAAACTGAGCATGTGCAGAATGACTCCACATGACATGTCTTATCAGGAGATAAGAGGGGTGCACTGGAAGAAGTGGAGGATCAGAGAAGACAGGATCAAACAGCCTTTTTACACAATGCAGAGGATTAACCCCTTAGGTTCCACAGTGAGTATGACAAGCATGCTTTACTGCATATACAGACTGATTTTTCTGGTGTGGGTTTAGTTTTAAATGAACGTTTGGTGTTGGAATTCAGATTTACATTTGCACCCTTGTGCTTTTAGGGAGCTATGAGTTTTGTTCTTGGCTGAGGCGTCCCCAGCAGGCATAGAGAATAGCATTTGCTAGGATTCTCTGCAAATGGACACATCGGTACCGACTCCTGTGGTTTATAGGGGTCAGTTCTAGTTATGTGCTTTAATTTGGGATCAAGAATGGCTGACTGTAAAATGCCCTCCGTATGTTTTATGTGGCCACAGTTATTCTTTTTTTTTTCTGTTCCAGATGGACGATACATCAGGAATAACACAAAGCAGAATTACGTTCCTTTCCCAGACGGGGAACAAGAAGACGACAAGGTCACAGCTGGTTCTTCATTAGTAAACCCCACCATCGCAGGACTCTACAGAATTTTCTCATGCTCTGCCTGTGGTCAATGTTTTAACGACCGAGCAGAGTTCAGGTCACACCAGAAAAGCCACGCGGGCGAGCGGACTTATCCGTGTTCTGAGTGCGGAAAAAGTTTCACCCGCAGAGAGAATCTTAAACTACACCAGAGATCTCACACGGGGATCAGGCCCTTCTCCTGTGCCGAGTGCGGGAAACGGTTTACCCGTAGAAAAATCCTCATGGCGCATCAGAGAATCCACACGGGGGAGAAGCCGTTCGGCTGTTCGGAATGCGGCAAACGTTTTACCCAGAGAGAAAATCTCATCATACATCAACGATCGCACACGGGGCTGAAGCCGTTTCCCTGCGCCGAGTGCGGGAAATGTTTTGCCCGGAGAGAAAAGCTCATCTACCATCAGAGGTCTCACACCGGGGAAAAGCCATTTTCCTGTTCCGAATGCAGCAAAAGTTTTACCCGGAGAGAAAACCTTCTCCTACATCTGAGGTCGCACCCGGGGGTGAAGCCATTTTCCTGTACGGAATGCGAGGAGCGTTTTACCGAAAAGGAAGAACTTCTTTCGCACCAGAAGCGTCACATAGAAGAGAAGCTATATATGAATCCCGAAGCTGGAGTCGAGGAGGAGCCATATTCATGTTCGGCATGTGGGACTCGCTTTGACCAGAGAGCCGACCTTGTTTCACATGAAAGAACTCACGCCGGGCTGAAGAAGTTTTCCTGCAGCGAATGCAGCAAATGTTTCGGCAAAAGATCTAATCTGGTTAGACACCAAAGAAGTCACTCGGGCGAGAGACCGTTTTCATGTGCAATCTGCGGGAAATGCTTTACATGGCGAGACAAGCTGATCTCCCATCAGAGGTCTCACACGGGTTTCAAACCGTTCACGTGTCCAGTGTGCGGGAAGTGTTTTAGCCAAAGAGCCCATCTCGTTTTGCACGAAAGGACTCACACGGGGGAGAAGCCATTCTCCTGCAGCGAATGCGGGAGGTGTTTTGCTGAAAGCTCAAACCTTACTAAACACCAGAGGACCCACTCGGGGCTGAAGCCATATTCGTGTTCGGAATGCGGCAAATGTTTTTCCAGCAAATCCAATCTGATCGCGCACGAAAATGTTCATAAGGGGGACAAGCCGCTTTCCTGTTCCGAATGCGGGAAAAGTTTTTCTCGCAAATCAAATCTTGTCGCGCATGAAAATGTTCATAAGGGGACAACAAGCCATATTCGTGTTCCGAATGCGGAAAATGTTTTTTTCTCGGAAATCGTATCTGATGAGACATGAAAAAGTCCATATAGTATGTGTTCCTCTGTAAGTCATGATTTTTGTGCTTTCTATAAAATCTGGTGAGAAAAAGGAAGTCCGATCAGCTGCACTCCAAACCATCCACTTTATTGATAAAATCGATACAGACAGTGGAAATACAGCGAGGGACTGGCAGGTAAACGTGTTTCACGCTAAAAACAGCGCTTATTCGTTACACCATCACCCCAAAACCTGATTAAGTCTTAAAAAATGTTCCTTAACCGCCTCCTGACCACCATATAGCAGAAATACTGCTACGGAGCAGCACGGGTGCGCAAAATCACGTATATATACGTGATTTCGCATTTCCGGGTACGGGGCGCGCGCCCTACCTGCGCTGCCACTCGCCGACGCCCGCGATTTCCAAGGATCTCCAATGGGGAGGAGAACTGTTTTGTTTACTAACAGTTCTCCTCCCTTTCAGCTTGTGCACACTGCTTTGGATGGTTGTGAGGTAAGCACAAAAATCCTAATTTCTTAATTATTCATTAAAGGCCACAGGATCAGAAATAATTCTTGGAGCTTGAGATGTTGAAAAAGTAGTCCGACTGAGGGGTTAAAAAGTACACCAACAGGCCCACATAACAGGAAGGAAAAACCTGGAGGGAGCATGCAGCTCAAAGAGCCACCGGAAGGACCTTTTACCTGAAGCTGGCATCAGATGAGGACTAAACATCTACCTGGTAGAACTTCGAGAACGTGTGAACAGAAGACCAGGTGGCAGCTTTGCAAATCTGGGAAACAATTGCCTGATGTCTAAAAGCCCGAGAAGCACTTACGGATTTAGTAGAGGGAGCTATAACAGGAAAAGGTGGAACTTTCTCTTTAAGGCCATAAGTCTAAACCAGGGGTGTCAAACTGGCGGCCCTCCAGCTGTTGCGAAACTACAAGTCCCATCATGCCTCTGCCTTTGGGAGTCATGCTTGTAACGGTAAATCTTGCAATGCCTCATGGGGCTTGTAGTTTGGCAACAGCTGGAGGGCCGCCAGTTTGACACCCTTGGTCTAAATAATATTTTGTCTGAGAAAAGGAGAAATGGTTAAACTATTCCCAAAAGACTTCCATCTTCCTAGGACATTAGCAAAAAACTAAAGCATTATGGAGTGGGAAGGGTCATATCTGACTGGCAAAGGACTTTTTTTGTTTGCCAATTCCTCCTGAAGGCGGCACTATAACCAAAATATCTATGAATTATTGTCAGTCCCCTTAAAAAAGAACTCCAGAAATAATCTACGTGTTACATTTACATTGTTCCAGCTTGGTTACCTGTAATTATTTGTGACGGATCGCCTGGCACCCCGCTTGAGTACCTCTGTCAGAGAACTGCTTCCTTTCCGCTGGCACACAGGGGCAATGTATTATAGCTGGGCATTGCACCCGAACTAGATGACACTAGCTTAAGTGCAACTTAAACAGAAATACAGGTTTTTGTACACTTCAAAAATAGGGGTAATCCCCAGATAAACAATCCCGCACTGATTAGATAATGAGGTTGTTGGCACAAGACTAATCACATCATGTAGGAACCTCCAGGAGGACTAGCCAACACACAGGAGCAAGATGTGACTCAATTTACTCAATTAACAATGGGACAAAGACACAGTAAACACATCACACCTTAATGAATACATTATAGCAAGAGACCTCAGCATCAGGTTGTTTTGAGTTGATTATTTTAACATCTTTTGTTCAAATAAAGTAGAACTATAGGCAAAAAATTTTTTTTTCATTTTGGATAGAGCAAGAGGAGGTTATAACCCCATCTTAGATTTTTTTTTTTCCCCACCATTGCGGAGATTTCCCTTCACTTCCTGTATCAAAGACAAACAGGAAGTGAGAGGAAATCCCTAAAAATTAAGGGAATTCCTTGAGGAGCCCCAGGTCAGCAGAACTAGTGTCCCATTGGAAGATTTCCCTCTATTACTTTTCTGGAGACAGCCCAAAATTTTGGATTTGCTTTTAGTTTCACTTTCAATGATAAGGGTAAACAGAACAAACAGAGAGGGGAAATCTCTCTAACGGGGGCACAGACAGCAATAAAGACTTGACAGGGGTCATATTCAATATATTTCAAAAATATATTTCAATATATTTGTGAATATATTATTAAAAATATATTCAGAACACATGTTGCAATATATTTCAAAGTCTAATTTGGAATGCATTTACAAGTATATTTAAAAATCTATGTTTAAATACATTTTTTTAGATGTTCAAATATATTTTGAAAATATATTTAAAAAAAATGTATTTTTAAATATATACCTTTGGAAAATATATTTAGATTTACATTTTTGGAATACGTGTTAAAATATACCGGTGTAGACCAATATATTGTAAATATATGTCGCATGTATAATTTTTTTTTCAAATATATTGGAAATATTTTTCTCTTCCATATGGGAATCCTCCACTCTAGCCAACACCAAAAAAACAAAACAAAGTTTTGCTTTTAGTTATACTTTAAGCTTTGACAATAAAACCTGGAAGCTGATTGGTTACTATGCACAGTTGCACCAGATTCTGCATGCTCGTTTTAGTAAATCTCCCCCAGAAAGTTGCTCACTCTGCACCTCTGCCCTTCAGAAAATGCATTGTATTCTTTTTATTGCATACAAGGCACTCTCTGATTCAACTAGGGAAGATCGTGATATGATCAGCCCATTCTCTCCACCTTGTCCAATCTGAGAATGCCTTGTATTCCCTGAACAGAATATAACACATTTTCTGAATGGTGGAGGTGACACTGTCTTCAGTGTACCACAGGGGAAGCTGCCCCAGCACCTTCAGAACAGGAAAGCCCTTCCTGTATGTGGCAAGGACTATTATGGTGATTTTTAAAAAATTGATGATTTCTAGAGCAGTTTTATTTTTCTTAAGATCCACGAAGTAAAAAAAAATGCCTCTATATTGACCCCATTTTTGGAAAATGGTTTGGATGTTCTAACCTAATTTGTTTTGAAATCTTGTACTAAGTAAGGTCTATGATCCTATTAAAAATGAACACCCACTGCCACAGAGCATCTATCAGATGTATAAAGAATTTGCCTTCCTAGAATCAAACTATAAGTTTCTTTTATAAAAACATTGCTTGGTGAGTTATAAAAAGGTAACATAACTAAATATATACCAGAGGAATGCACTATTGTGACAAAAAAGGTTCTACGTTGCTACTATTTAGTCATTCGTATCAGAAACACGAGTGAAGTTAGCCAATAGAGGATACTTTTTTCAAATGCACTGCCATGAAATGTACCTTGCTAGAATGAGTAGACCTAAAAGACCTACAAAGCCAACACAGAAAATTGCTGACTGGCCGTGAAGACATAAAGAAAACTCCAAGGAAGGAAGGGAATTCATTGGACATTGCTTGTTTTGAGGAGAAACCAAAAGGTAGTGTCTTCAGTGGCTCTTACATCCATTTGTGAAAGTACGAACCAAAGAGAGCAGCTTTACAAACTTGAAGTTGCCGAAGCCTGATGACCGTCTCAGAAAGGAAAAGCGCCTCTAAGTGCAGCAGTCAAAGAAGTTTGTATCCCAATAAAATGTCCTTTGGATGCTGCACTTAGAGGCGCTTTTCCTTTCTTTTTCAGAGTTCTTTTTCAGAGTTCATTCCACTCCTGATAAGCTGCCCAGTGCATTGCTGCCTTTTGATTAAAATATGGGACATCATCTCAAGAGAACATAAGAGGCCCTCTTATTAGTGCGCCATTTACACTTATTTCGAAGCCTGACGATAGCCCAGGAGGCACCAACACTCCTGGTAGAATGAGCTGTCAAAGGTGGAACATTGCCCGTTAGACTGTATGCTTGAGAAATAAGCTGACGAATCCATCAAGAAATGGTAGATTTGTAAGCTACGTGACCCTTTGATGGGCCTTCAGGAAGCACCTAAGACACTAGAAGAAAAAGTCTTGCTGAAGGGAGAGGGGCTATACTTAGGAGGGGGCTTCCTGTCATTTTTTGCCAGTGCCCAAACACTTGAAGATGGTAGCATAACCCTATCCTAATAGATATGAAAATGCTCTGTATTTCATGATGCACGATAAAGAAAATAGAATGATATCTTTTGAAACAACTCGGGAACATTATACATGTTGCTAACATGAATGCAGCGAACTTATTGGGGAAAGGGTCCTTCTTTGAGGGACTAAGGGTCATGTTACACAAGCAAATCACCAGCATCAGAACCTTCTCTGGTGTTGCTTACTTTCTTGCCACTTCAGTGAGATGTCACTCTGGTTCACTAGCAATCAAGATTCTGCCGGGTCTTGGCCAATGTGAGGACAACATCCATTAGGTTTAGCAGAGTTTCACTTTGGGGATCTTACCATTTCCCGTCACAGAGTCGCCACTGGGACATCAACCTAACTTCCTGATGAAGGGTTTTGTTTGCTGCTATTTTTGTCTGTTTGACGTGTGTTGGTTAGGTGCAGTGTCGTGTGGCAGGCTGTGAGTCCCGATTGCCAAAAAACATGCGTTGTAAAAAGAGTTTAACTTGTACAAACAGGCCCAGAGGGAAGGATCACCATCCAGTGACACAACTGTGCATTGAGAAGCAACAGTCCGAAGACCCAAGGATGCTGATAGTATTTGACACGAGGGGCAGAATGTGGCTTGGCCAGTCCAACCCAAAGCGGAAGCTTCCACATGAGGTAGACGTCCCTACACTCTACCTACCTTGCCAGAATCTTTACCTATTGCTCAGCACTATCCCTGCCAGATGGTAAATCTGTCCCTACACTAGCCAATCGAATAAAGCATGCCAAATAGACTCTGCCTGACCCAAGATGAACGCCAGGGTCACACAAGGCATGAGCATCCAACCAGATCTCTGGCCCATGTGCCTGAGGAAATTATAGAGAAGCTCAGTTCCTCTCAGCTTCCTTCCACATCTGCATTGTTGCTGTGGACGAGCGCCACCTGCAGTGGAGATGACAGACTGCACCTGCCTACACATGGATAAAGACCTTACTATC